GTCAGCCAACCTTAGTAAAGCGTGGTCCTTCCCGCGCATTCAGTTCGGTTCAGTCCAGTTAACTTGAGGGAAATGTTGGTGTTGCGCCTTTGAGCTCCCTATTTGTTACAGGGGAGGGAGATACAGTAGGTGGGCTAACTCATGAAATGTCAACCGGCATTCCGAAATGCGTTTTCGTTTCGAAAAGATTAATTAAGTAGGGTTGTAAAACCAATCATCGTGCAACATAATTGTATAATAATTCAGTTACCTCAGGATGTCGACTTTCAAACAAACTTCTTTTCAGCTGCATGCAGGAATTACACTCTGTAAAAAATGACTACGTATGTAGCAGGTATTTTTCTCATTGATTTTCGATGCCCTTAAAAAGTCTATTATATTTCATAGAATGCATGCATAAAAATGTTCATTCTTTTTCTCAGTCGGTAGAAAATTACGTCTTCTGTAAACTGTATACTAGAAGAAAGGGTTTAGTTCGGTTTTAAAAAAACTTTTCATATTCCCGAATAATTTTGAACTCGACCTGCAGTTACACTTGCAGGGTTTCCAAACTACAAGCCGTATATTTTTCGCGTACGGAAAACCGTTAATTTCTCTACGGTATTCAGAGGAGGCCATATAGGGTTCATAGAATTTATCAGTGGATATGAGCTATATTGCTAACTTTGAAAGCAACACTAGTAAACGCAGAGACATGACGTTTTATGAACGGCCATGTCACGAAATTAAAAATCTCTCAAGCAGAAACTTTTTAAAACCAAATTATACACTACCTTCGAGTATAAAATTGAAAGAAAACGCAATTTCCTACCGAATTAGTAGAAAAATGAATATTTTTATGCATGTTTTCTATGAAATCGAAAATCAATGAGAAAAATACCTGCTACATGAGTAGTCGTTTTCTACAGAGTGTAGTTCCTGCATGCAGCTGAAAGGAAGTTTTCATATTGACCCAACTGTGAAAAACTCGGCGTCTCGGTGGGATTCGAACTCACGCAGTAAGGAGAAGGCGTTAATACAGCCAACGCTCTAACCACTTGAGTTACGAGGCCCCGCCGGACGACTCGAGTTTAATCAAGTTTACCCGCCCAACCTACTGCAACGTCTGGAATCCACCAAATCTGATACAGTAGGTTGACTGCCCAAGCGGGATTTCCTAGGTAAATCACCTAGAATCCACCAACTGACTACCAGGCTCACTTAATTCATAGGTATTTTGGCAGATTTTGAAAGGAAGTTTGTTTGAAAGTCGACATCCTGAGGTAACTGAATTATTAGAGAAAGAGAGAGAGAGAGAGGAAATGCGCTTTATTTTGAAATCGTAAGTTCAAAATTTTCAGCAAAAAATTGGCTCCATTCACTGTGGGTAGTAAATAAGTTAAGAGATTATTCAACAGTCAAAGAAACGATAATTATGGGGATAGTTCAAGTCTGAGCTTCTGTATTTCTGTCTCTTCGCACGTAAGATATCGCGCTAGGAATGGCAATACAGAAGCTCGATAAGCCGATGTGCGACAGGGTATAAGACGGAAGTTGCGGCGCATCGGGCGGGAAGACTTGGCAGCCATAAGATCGGAATGTAGGGGATGGGCAACGTCATCTAGAATTCGACCGGCAAATTGCTTGACCGCATTGAAGTGTCGTTGTAAGATTGTGTCAACTAAAAAAATATGAGAAACGCCAGCAGCAGAAGAGAGCATGCGGAGGATTCGTTTCAAAATTAAAAGATCCTTTTTTAACAGAGCAGGAAAAACGACAGGAGAACAGTATAGGATAAGAGGAAGAATGCAGGCATCAATGAATCGCCAGACTAAGGGTTGAGGTGTGTAGTAGGAACGCAAACGACGAATGTAGTAAAGGAGTTTACGAACTTTAATAAATATGGACTCAATATGGAGGGAAAAAGAAAGATTTGAGGACAAAGTAAGGCCGAGATACCTGAAAGAGGATACCTCATTAGGAAGAATGTCAGAGGAATCAGGGTTAGGAGAGGGTCTCAGTCGAAAAATACACCGAACGGATTTTTGGTTGTTAATTAGGAGACCATTTTCCTCCGACCACGCTAGGACATGGTTTAGGCCATCCTTTAGAGACCGGAGGTGTGTATGACTTTTGAGAGGGTGTCCAACAACCACATCGTCAGCATACTTGATCAGAAGACAGTCATTAGGGGACCTGAGATCATCAGCGTGTATGTTGCACGATGATTGATTTTACAACCCTACTTAATTAATCTTTTCGAAACGAAAACGCATTTTGGAATTTCGGTCGACATTTCATGAGTTAGCTAACCTACTGTATATAAAAAGGTTGGAAACCTAAACATCAAACGGCTACAGGAGAAATATCGAAACTATACAGATAAAGGAGTTATTCCAGGTTTTATATGCACTGACACTATTAAGTGCATTGTACACACATTGGAAATAGTATTCTTAAACAAAACATACTTGTCGCATTATGAAAAAAAGGAGTAATGTACCCACTGATAATTTAGTGGTGTTAGCGTGGGATGCTGTTGAGGGGCGCGTACCGATCGCGCTACGAAACCCACTCGTCCATTTGCGCCTCGGGGCCCAACCAGCAGCCGCACAGCGGCGTGTAGTATAGTCGGAGTAACGTCGCCGATAAAGACTCGGGATGTAGGTGTTATGGCAGATTTTAAATAACTCGGCAACCTCGGTGGGGTTCGAAGGGGAAGGCTTTAGTACAGTCAACGCTCTAGCCACCTGAGCTACGAGTCCCCACCGGACAACGCGAGTTTAATTACGTTTGTGTCAAGTTTACTCATCCAACCTACTACAGCGTCTGGAATCAACCAAATCTAATACGGTAAGGTGACTGCTAAAGCAGGATTTCCTAGAATCCACCAGATGACTACCAGGCTCATGTAATTCCTAGGTGTTATGGCAAATGTAATTAAACTCGCGTCGTCCGGTGAGGCCTCGTAGCTCAGGTGGTTAGAGCGTCGGCTGTCCGTAAGTCTTCCCCTTACTGTCTTGTATTTCAATTCCACCGAGGCACCGAGTTCTTCACAGTTTGGGCAAAATGACAGACTAGGGAGACTGGAATTGTCATTTCCGGCTTATTGGCCGTCATCAGCCAGCCACCCCCCAAGCCCGAGATAAGCAACCTCTGAGTCTCGAACTCGTGATCTGTTAGTTAGAAGTCCAGGGCAGTAACCGCTGAGTCACAGGCTAGCAACCAACCGGATCCAGAGGAGAGAGGAGGAGAGAGTTCGGCAGACGCAGTGCAAGTCTACTATCACTGTAGGAGGAGCAGCGCGCAAGTCGCCGTTCCCGCTGTCATACTACAGAATCCCGTCCATTCCACCCCCCTGGACTTCCTCGCACGCGTACGTCGCCAGCATCAGGACTAGTCCGGGGAAAACAACACAGGCGTCCGCAACCTGCGCGCCGAAAAGTAAAAGCTACACAAGATCTACATTGACCATCGGACCGACGCAAACAAAACGGTCTTTTACAGATGTCACCCTTGCAGAAACCGCTGCGGGAAGTGTAGGACGGGTAGATAGCTCACTAGGCCGGGAAGATCCGAAGGTATGCGGACTGTGGCAGTTCGCGTCTCCTTGCCCTCCGCCTTTGTAACGCTGCCTTCCTGTCTGCCTCACACTCCTTGTCGATACGCCGCTGTGACGCGTGAGGCTTGTCACTTGTCACGCGAGTGCTCCAGGCCAATCAACGCTGTCCCCCCTCTGATTGGCTGGCGGAGGCGGAGACAACGAAAGGCGCACACACGCGCTGGTGTGACGCCCCTGGACATGAACAGGATTGTTTGAATGTGGTGACACTTTTCGGCGCGAGGACCTAGGGTGGAGATGGCGTAGCCGCGTTTCGGTGAAGACGGCCGGTGTCACTTCCTCTCTCTTCCACCGATCCCTTCCCCCGCACCGTACCGTAACGTTCGTATCGTTCTCCTCCTCGCCACGTCGGCACCTCCCTCGGCCCTTCCCTGCAGTTGCCCACAGTGCTGCACAGCCCACCGGTTAATGAGCTGGCATGTCGGTATCGCTTCTCCACCCAGACAGGTTATTCTACGGTTGTAACTCCTTCTACCTGTACGAGTAACAATTATTACTATATGTATTTCCCGTGCCGTCTCGACGTCCCCTTCTCGACGTACCCTCTTCTGCTGCGTGTGAATGAGTTTCAGGAGAGGCTAACAGTTCTGTTCAGATCCAACTCCTCCAGGATTTACTCTCAGCGTTTCCTTACTTGGGTGTGTGCTACCCTTGACGTCCTCGGCTGCTACGCTGGCTCTCAGCACCTCGAAGGCGGACACGGACAACAACTTGCCTGGAAAGCGCGCTCGCGGCGACTGCCTACAGAGCCTTTGTGTACGCATTTCCAAAACAGTAAAGGTTGTCCGACTCAAACCGTCGTCCCTGACTTTTGATTTGGGAATCTTAGTCTTGTTGACCACACCACTTTCGACAGGACAACAATGAATCAAAGAACTTCTTCGCATCACTCAAGGCGGTCTACGGCCCCTAACCAAAGGAACCGCGCTGCGATGGGACAATACTTCTGACGGAGAAACCACAAATCACAAAGCCCTAAACAGAAAACTTCAGAAATGTCCACAACCGCCGATCCATAGTCTCTGACGCCGCCATCGACGACCTGGACTTCCCGTCTTATCACCCAGGAACAACCAGGGCCGTGCACAAACTGTCCACCAGGAAAACACTGGGGTTCTGTCGAAGTTGACAAGCACGACGACCCTCGGATGACGAATTAAGTTATAATGCCCTTCCAGGAAATTTCGCGCCGAGGACAACTTCCTCAGGAATTTGAGGATGCGACAATCGTCCATCTTTACAAGCGGAAAGGGAACCAGAAGCCCTGTGACGACCACGGAGAGGTCTCGTTGTTAAACATCTCACTCGCACCCTCCTCAACAATCTCACCACCTATCTAGAATATCGGCTTCTCCCGAAAAGTCACTGTGGCTTCCAACACCACCGTGGAACAACCGTCATGATCTTCGCCGCCCGTCAGATACAAGTGAAACGCCACAAAATGCGGACCCACCTCTGCGCTACCTTCGTGGACTCGACGAAAACCTTCGACACTGTGAGTCGCGATGGCCTGTGAAAAATCAAACAGAAATTCGGTTGTCCTGAGCGCTTCGCGCACATGCTACATCATCCTTACGACGGGCTGATGGCACGCGTCATGAACTGTCATGTTATTCCCTTCTACAAATATGATAACATTTGATCCTAGCATTTATGTGGACTGACTACGCAGCGTCCCCGTCTATCGTCAACAGTGAGTCCCCTCATTTCTCCCGACCTAACCAAGTTCGACTTCCTCCTGGTCTGGTATGACGTTGTCAGTCAGCTCCTCCAGCCCCCCCCCCCCCCCCCTGGCAGGCCGTACGATGTTCTTTCATAATCTGACCTGGAATTTGCCGCCGACCGTGACGACAAGGCTGATATCATCAGCGTTGACTACATCGAGCCAGCCTACGTCGATGATGCTGCTGCTGCTGCTGATGATGATGATGATGATGATGATGATGATGACGACGACGATGATGATGCTGATGACGACGACGACGACGACGATGATGATGATGACGATGATGATGATGATGATGATGACGACGACGACGACGACGATGATGATGATGATGATGATGATGATGATGATGATGATGATGATGATGATGATGATGATGATGATGATGATGATGATGATGATGATGATGATGATGATGATGATGATGAGGATGATGATGATGAACCGACCTCACCCCAATACAGTGACCAGCCACTAACGCACTGGGGACGGCCCACCTCCTATTATCCGCAAAAGGTCCGGTCGTCATTTGCCTGGTCCGACAGACTTATGGCTGGTTAGCATGTCAACTCCTTCACTGCGTTTGGTGCCTCGGGGGGTAAGGAGGGGTAGGACTCTGGCATCCGCGTTAACGTCGCTCATCACTCGTTATCTTTCATCACTAGCGAACATGCTCCTTAAACTCGGTTCGTGTAGCAGCTAATCAATGCACAGCTTGTCACTTGTCCATGCTGGCCGGCGTGGCTTATCACTCTTGAACTTTCATCACTTGCTGATGAGTGCGGGTAAGACTCGCATGAACGACACTCCATACCGTTTCTCACGCACTCCCGAGCGGACATCCTTTCTTGACCCAAAAGCAAGCTGCCGCCTCATGGCAACCTGCCTAGCACACTGAATAAATCAGCTCTCACTACTCTCCAACATCTGCCATCAGACGGGAAGAACATATTTTATGTGTGGTTTAAGTTGATCTGATATCCTTTGACCGCTGAATGTTAGCCTGGGCTACACTCCAGTTCACTTCTCCGGTCTGGCTAGGGGCGGGATCCAATCAGTAATATAACATCTAATAAGACCGCATACTTAAACCATGTGAAGCAGCTAGTTATCGCCCAGTTCGAGCAAAAGCGACTGTAATGTAAAAATATTACGGGAAGGCTGGAGATGCTACTGCTGACTTGTGGATAGCCTTCAATCAGTCGTACCGCAAGACAAAAAGGCACGGCCGTGCTGAACACCTGCGCCCTCCCCTGTCCATGGTCTTCTTGACTCTGTCTTCACACCGGGTCCAGGTGGAGGACGAGAGAGTGCGGTAGATGGTGTGCACTTCTACTATCATTATAAACTAATTCACGTACAAGTCACCATCCCTGCTTTCATCTGTTGTGGAGTATACGATGGATATCGTCGGACTGGACGGTCGAACTGCCGTGTGGTGGGAAGATGGAGTTTGGTCTGCGATGTCTTCCTGGAGGCCAACATGGCCGATTAGGCCCATGCGGGGACTGAATGTGCGTGTAGGCAGCTGAGGCTGGAACAATGGGTGTATGTTGATGCTTCTGACACCGGTTTGTTAGTTTCAGTGCGATGGATGCGTAAGTGATCAGAACGGTGGGTGCGGAATGTGTATGTACTGCGGCAACATGGACAGGTGATAATACTGCTGGAGCTGCTAGCTATTGGAGAATTGTCGGGTGTGCGAGGTGCGATTGGCATTATCGCTGTGGGAACTTTATCCACCCTTAAGTCGCAGGATTCATGCTCCAAACCATCACTAGATGCAGCACAAGGGATTGCAGTATTTATAAGATGCATTCGCTGTGCGGACACCCCTCCCTCCCCCTCCCCTACATCGCATATTCTTACCGTAAGTACGATAATTATTCGATGGCCGTCATTTAAGTCATTAATCGTCGCGATTCCACCGTCCGTGTTGCATGTTACTCGGCCATTCGACTCACCGATGAGTCGTGGCATGGGAACTGGTCTCGTTTTTTCGTTCCCTTGCTGTGTGTTCGGCTATTCGCGTCCGGTGCAGTCTTCCAGTTTCTCCGACGTAGTTGCTTTACCCGACACTGCACCAGATCCGATAAAAGACTTCAGACGTTTAGAAGAAGAAGAAGAAGAAGAAGAAGAAGAGGGACGTGCGATCGCTGAAGCAAGAAGTTTATTGGCCTGACGTTTCGGATTATCACCTGAACGCATCATTGGAGACAGTCATAGGAAAGGGTAGTAGGAGCACAGAGTAGGCAATATTTACAAGCCACGGTTGCTAGGCAACCACATGCCTACTATATTTGACAGTACTCGTGTCCATCGCTTGGGGTCGTAGTTGGTGCGATGATTGCTTGTTGGTCCGTGCGGGAGTTGTTAATCGCCGTGATTTCATCAGTATTAACGATTCTTGGCTTGACGACTGCTACGAGAGCCCACCTGCGCGACTCACTCGTTATACCACATACATGTGGCGCGTGTTCCGAACATGTGGCGAATAATATGAAGGAGGTCTATGCGTGGTCTGGGAATGTACGAGCTACTGAGGCGAGGCTTGGTGATTGGGTTTGCGCTGCGGTGTTTGGCCCCATATTTTGATGGGGGCGCATGTGACCGAATGAGCCCACCACCAGCACCACCAACACCACCACCACCGATATCATCACCACCACCACCACCACCAACACCAGCATCACCACC